CTGGGGACTCCCGCCGCAGCGGGGCCTGCCCCGTGTCCCCCCCGCGCTGACCGTGTCTCTGCCGGTGCTTTGCAGGGCCCGGAGCATGGTGCAGATCGTCATCTCCAGGTGAGGCTACCAGCCTTTTTTGGGGGGGGGGTGTTGCTGATCCTGCCCCCGGCTCTATGCCCGCAGCCCCAGGCAGGGTTGGAGCCGTGGGGTGAAGGTGCCTCTCTCACCCGCAGCGGAGGTGCTGGGGGCCTGGCGCAGTGGGTGCTGGTGGAGCTGCAGGGTGAGGTTGAGCCCCGGCAGAGCGGCGAGCTGGCAGGGAGCCTCCTGGGAGACCTGCACTACACCCATGAGGTGAGGCAGCCCACGCCGCCTTACCGGGGGACGGCTCCGGGATCCTGCCCACCCTCACCCTCTGCCTCTCGTTGCTCTCTCTAGGGGATCCCCGTGCTCATCGTGGGCCACCACATCCTCTACGGGAAGGTGGTGCAGCTGGAGAAGCCCTTTGCAGTCCTGGTGAAGCGAGGAGCCGGCGAGCCCAGTCCCACGGGGCCACACACCTGCTACACCGTCACCGCCCTCATCAAAACCAAGCTCCTCTTCAAAACCCGCCCCAAACCCATCATCACCAATGTGCCCAAGAAAGTGTGAAGACTCGGGCCGGTAACTGTGAGCTCTGCTCTGCTGCCAGGCAGCCCTGGGTGCCGCAGCTGGGGCTCAGGAAGATCCAGGGCCGGGCCTGGCCTCATCCCTGTCCTGTACAAAGGACTCCCAGGGCCACCTCAGGGTGCTGGGTCCTGCATCTGGCTACCCAGAGCCCTTCCCAGGTCACCTGTGCCCCCTGTAACAACTTCATTCCTGCGAGCTGCTGCGCTCCGGGGCACAAACGTGGCTGCTATCCCAGGCGAGATGGGTCCTGGTGGGCAGTGACCTTCCCCCCAAGCCCAGGCAGGGCTGTCTTCCCCACACACTGCCCTTTCTCTGTGCAAGTCTTTATTTTGACAAATCCATCAGGATATAAAAAACAGACTTTTCCAAAATATGAAAAAAAACCTGCAGGTTAAAAAATAAATAGATTTACAAACAATTAGCAATAAGTATGAATACCAAAGAGCTACAAAAGTCTCCTAAAAAACCTCATATTAAATTAAACAAAACAATCTAAAAGCTCAGTTGTAGAAAGGTTTTTAAGCCCTGAAAAAAAGAGGGCCCAGGGGAGACGACCGGGTAAATTTCCCGGGGAGGGGAAAGGTTGGGAACCAGCTCTTCCCCGCCCTCCTCTGCATGCCCAAGCCCAAAACCCAGCGTCTCCCCGCTGTCTAGACAGACGCCAGGAAGGCAGCGGGGTTGGTACAATGGGGCCACAGTGACGCTCTGGCCAAGCCACGGCCCCGGTTTCCCCTGTTTCTGCATGCTGGGGTCCCCCCCTTGGCTCTTTGGCAAAGCTGAAGGGAGCTGCTGCCCTCCCGGGGCAGCCGGACCCCCCCGAAAGGGGCTGGAGGGAGCCACGGGGGGGAGGGGGGGTGTCCCCGTGGGTACGTGCCCGCACATACAACAGCCATGGGGCAGAGGCAGGCAGCACCAGCCAGCGGTGCAGCACCGGACGGAGACGGTGCCCCGTGGGGCCATTTTGCAATAGCACCGTGGACAGGGGACCGTGAAGTCCCCATAGAAAGCACCGAAAGGTGGAAGACCCAGCTGCGGTGGTGGGGTGGGGGGGAGCCTGGCCAGCAGTGCTCCACACAGCATGCCGGGATGCTCGGTACGGCACGGCGGGGACATTGCCGTCAGCCCCCACATGCGCTGAGGCTGTGCCCAGCCCAGTGACGGTCAGCCCCGGCTCAGCCTCTCCCCGGCCAGCAGCCAGGTTTGTACAGAAAAATGAAAATAAGAAAAAACCAAACAAAACAACAACAAAAAAAGCAAGACTTGATCAGAAACGCCGCAGCGGGCGCGCTCAGCGCTGCCCAGCACCCGATGGCTCAGTGCCGGCTGTGCCGGGGCTGGTGGCGGGTGAGGAGGGGACCGGTGGCGGTCGCCCCAGCACGCGGGGCCACCCCGGCGCTTTCTGCGGTCAGACCTCGGCAAAGGCCAGCCCGCACTGCTCCTGCCGCTTGCCACAGCGCCGGGCGACGATGGCCAGGTAGAGGGTGAGCAGGGCCACCCAGTAGCAGGCGTAGAGGATGGCACCCGAGACGAGGAAGGCCACCTCGGTCTCGCTGAAGAGGTCCTGGCTGTAGGCGGTGTAGGCCAGCCCGCCCAGCAGCACCGCCACCCACACCGACACCGGCAGCAACCCCACAAAGTTAACCACGATGGTCCGGCGCCCCGACGTGCCCCAGCCCGACTTGTTGATGGTGGCGATGGCGAACATCTTGGCGGGCAGCAGGCTGGACATGTAGAGGAGGGCATAGAGGGACATGAAGATCATCTCGGCATTGCCCCGCAGGAAGCAGGCGTAGGTGGCTTTGATGATGCCCACCAGCTGCACCGTCAGCAGGAAGAGGAGGATGTTCCAGATGCGGCCGCGGTAGAAGAGCTGGATCACAGTGGCGATGAGGAAGAAGGGGAAGAAGCCGGTCACCACCGACTCGTAGGTCATCCAGAGGTGATGCTTGTGGAACCACAGGGCGTTGTAGAGCCACTCGCGGAAGTAGGACTTGCTCCAGCGGGTCTGCTGGTTGAGCCAGCGCAGGTAGCGGGTGGGTGTCTCCGTCAGGCACTTGGAGCGAGCCGTGTACTTGGTCTGGTAGCCCAGGCTGAGCACGCGGTTGGTGAGGTGCCGGTCATCCCCGAAGCTGCACTTGCTGCCCAGGAAGGTCTGGTGGTACCAGTCCTCGAGGAACTGCTGCAGCAGGGCGTTACGGTACATGCCCAGGGGCCCACTGATGCATTGCACGCAGCCGAAGTAGGACTGGCAGGCACGCTCCACGTTGAAGGCCATCCAGTACCGCACGCTGCTCAGGAAGGAGATCCACGAGTCGTACTTATTCAGGATCTGGGGAGGGGACGGACGTGAGCCCCGGCACCGCCACAATCCCCTCCCTCTGCCCTGGCACCCTCGCCGCCCCAGGGTGCCCTCCCTCATGGCCGGGGTACCTGGACATCGCCGCCAACGCCGCCGACGCGGGGGTCGGCCTCCAGGATGCGGAGCATCTCGGCGGTGCAGGCGGGGTCCAGCACCGTGTCTGAGTCACACACCTGGGGGCAGAGGGAACGTCGAGCCCCGCTCCCGCCGCCCACGCGCGCCCGGCAGACAGCCCAGCCCGCAGCCGGGCAAGCCCGAGCCGCGGCCGGCGAGATGAGGCAGAGCCCCGGAGACCGGCAGGGGGGGGCGGGGGGGCGGGCGGCGCCGGGGG